TGTGTTATTCTGCTGTTATTCCAGAAGCCTCATGGGTCTTTTAAAGACTCTCAATGGGTTTAATTCAGAGAGAGTAAAACCATTTTCTATACAGGTTCTGTTATCAATATGTACTTTTTTCCTGGCAGGTATCCCTTGTATAACTGACTGTGTAATGGCTGAAATTGAGAAACTGGGGCAGAAGTATAGAGTGGCTCTAAGGTAGGAAGGAGCTGGTCTAGGTTGGTATACTCAAGATTCTCGTGATCCTCCATCTGTTGGCTGTCTGAAGATTTCTTGGATAATTACTTTAAATAAAAACCATACAAAACTAGTTAACTATTTATGATCAAGAAAGCAAACATTTGGGGCACCTGGGTGGCTCAGTTGATAAGTGTCTACCTTCGGCTCAGGTCATGATCCCAGGGTCCTGGGATCGAGCCCCGCATCAGACTCCCTGCTCAGCAGGAGGCCTGCTTCTCCCTCTCCCACTCCCCCAGCTTGTATTCCCTCTCTCACTCACTCTGTGTCAAATAAATAAAATCTTTTAAAAAAAGAAAGAACGAAAGAAAGCAAACATTCGAAGGTTAAAGAATTTGAAGATTTTATTTGAGAGAGAGAGCATGAGCTGGGGTGCAGGGGTGCTATGGGCAGAGGAAGAGAGAGAAGCAGGCTCCCCCTTGAGCAGGAAGCTGGTCAGGCTGTGGAGCTCTATCCCAGGAGCCCCAAATCAGGACCTGAGCCGAAGTCAGACACTTAACTGACGGAGCCACCTAGGCATCCCTAAGCTGCAGTTTTTTGAATGAAGTTAGTTAGTCCTATTGGTCTTGTAGGCCTCCTTTTAAGTTCCTCTGGATTTTCAATTAGAAAGTGTCTTTTTATTAGCTATCTAGATATCTTTTAGAATCTCATACGTAAAGGAGTCACATTTTGAGTTTTGAGCTTACTCTAGAAGGTTCACTTGAATTAAAAGTAGTGGTTCCCAAAGTATGGTCCATGGACCCCCTAGAAGTCCCAGACACCTTTGCGCAGGGAGCCTAATAAAACTATTATCATAGTAATACGAAGACATTGTCTCTTCACTGTGCTGACATTTATACGAGGGCAGAAGTACTGGTGCCTGAGTCCTGGTGCCCAGTCAAGACAATGGACCCAAATAATGCTGGTAGACTTTGTATTCTTCACTGCCCCTCACTAGCAGTTAAAAACAACAAAAACAACACAGGGGTGCCTGGCTGGCTCAGTCAGTAGAGCACACAACTTTTGATCTCGGGATTATAAATTTGAGCCCTAAATTGGGTGCAGAGATTACTTAAAAAAATAAAATATTAAAAACAAAAAACCTCACAGAGTCCCTTAAGAATATCCTTGATGAAGCAGTAAAATTTGTTGACTTTGTTAAATCTCAACCCTAGAGTACACATCGCTGTTCCTTGTGATGAAGTGTAAAATACACCTAAAACACTTCTGCCACATCCCAAGAGTGAAGGTTGCCTCAGTGAAAAAAAGCATTTGTGTGCTTGTTTGAATTGTGAGCCAAACCAGCTGCTTTTTCATGGAATGTCATTTTATGTAACTGACAAACACTGATTTTTCAGACTAAATTTGCAGATAGTTTCTCAAAAATTAATGCAGTGCATCTGTTACTTCAGGGAAATTCTTAACTGTATTAGCTGCCAATGATAAAATTCAAGCTTTCAAGTGAAAATTAGAGTTTTGAAAAATCACGAGCTTATCACATTCCCAATACCAAAAGACCTTTCTGTTGAGACCAGTGAAGACACTGAGTATGATTTTTTTTGGTAATTCTGTAATGAAATGTGTTAATACTTGGAAGATTTGTATAATTCAATGAGTTGGCATTTTCCAAATGATCAGTGAATAATATTACGAAATCATGCATGGGTAAAACATTCAATCAAGGTCCAAGATGTACCAGTGAATTTGTGCGTCTCTGTGTGTGTCACCTTTTAAAGGTGTACATTATATGCTATAAAATTGACCAAGTTTAATTATATAATTTGATGGGTTTGGCAAATGTGTATAGTTACGGAACCACTCATAGTCATGAAATAGAACATTTCCAACATTCCAAAAGTGTGATTCCGTTTACATGAAATTCCAGAAAAGACAAAACTGTGCTAATAGAATATAGTGGTTAGCTGAAGCTGAGCGTGGTAAAAGTGGATTAACTGCAAAGGGACACAGGGAACTTTTTGTAGTGACAGAGATGTTTTATATCTCAATTGTGGAGATATGTGACATGGATATCTAAATTTGTCAAAACTCATCAAATTTTGCATGTATTGTCAGTGAATTTTATTATATTTCATTTATACGTAATAAAGCTAGTTTTTTTTTAAGGCAAAGAAAAATGGAAAAAAAGAAAAATGGAAATCCAGTATATAAGAATGGTAGCACTGCTTAGCTGAATGGGAAAGTGATAAACTATTAAAATATTATCATTTGGAGGGGAGAGGGGTCGGGGGTTGGGTGAGCCTGGTGGTGGGTATTGTGGAGGGCACGTATTGCATGGAGCACTGAGTGTGGTGCATAAACAATGAATGCTGGAACACTGAAATGAAATAAAATAAAAATAAAATGGAAAAAAAAATATATAGGGGCACCTGGGTGGCTCAGTGGGTTAGGCCCCTGCCTTCAGCTCAGGTCGTGGTCTCGGGGTCCTGGGATTGAGCCCTACATCGGGCTCTCTGCTCAGCAGGGAGCCTGCTTCTCCCTCTCTCTCTGCCTGCGTCTCTGTCTACTTGTGATCTCACTGTCTGTCAAATAAATAAATAAAATCTTTAAATATATATATATATATATAGTCACTATGGAAAGAAACAAAATTGGATTTCCCTCTTTCACAAAAATCATTTCCAGGTAAATTAAGTATCTAGACTTTTATAGAAAATATAGAGAATATTTTCATGATTTTGGAGTAGGCAGGGCTTTCTGAAGGAGTCCAAGCCATAATAGAAAACTAACTGATCTGATTATATTGCTGTTGAATACTGGGGCACCTGGGTGGCTCAGTTGGTTAAGCGTCTGCCTTGGGCTCAGGTCATGATCTTAGGGTCCTGAAATCAAGCCACGCCTCGGGCTCTCTGCTTATTTGCAGGGAGGTTGCTTCTCCCTCTCTCTCTGCCCCTCCCTCTGCTTGTGGTCTCTCACACTCTCCGTCAAATAAATAAATAAAATCTTAAAAAAAAAGAGGAGTTAAATACTACTTTATAACAAAAGGTAGCATAAACAAAGCAGTGAGTAAGTCACAGATAGTGAGAAGATACTAGTAATGCATATAATCAACAAAGTGCTTAGTTTCAAAATATATAAAAAAAACTACAAATCTATGAGAAAAAGACAAAATCCTTAAATTCACAAGGAGATGTCATTTCATATGCAGCAGATTGGCAAGAATTGAAAAGTCTGCTTAACAATGCCGTGGATAGTTGAGACTGGGGACCAGTGGGAATTCTCATGTTCAACAGATACGGATGTAAAGTGGACAGTCACTTTGGAGAGCAGTTTGGCAGTATCACTGCAGAAAGTTCCGTCTTTCCAGCCCTGTTTCACTCTTCTCTTGCACAGACGCTCTCTCCCAACCAGAAAGAGGTGCTTGCTCTTCCCTGAACACCAGTGACCCAATTTATAAATGGTTGGTGCCCTGTTTGGAACGTGCCTGCCCATGGAATATTCTTCCATCTTCATTTTATTTAACATCCATGTAATTTTTTTTAAGTGTACCAAATTCACAGTGACTTAGCTCTGAACTACTGCAATGTGGAGCATTTTTCTTGCACTTGCTACCTATGTGCTGCCTTGTAGTTTTATTCAGTTTGTGACTCATCATTACATAGTAGGAAGAACTTGGTTCTGGGAATCACAGACTTGGGGTTTTTCTTTTTTCAAACTTGCATGAAAATAACATGTTTGATTTGTTTATGGCAAACAATATAAACATGTACATATGATAAAAAGTTGAAGCCCCCCTGCATATTCACACTTTGTCCATTCTTCCACCCTAATGGTGACAACGGAGAAGCGTTAGTGTATTTTTTTTCTAGACCTTTTTTCTAAGCAAATGCAAGTGTAGATAAAGACAAGGAAAGAAATTTGTATTTTCTTTAAAAAAAAAAAAAGATTTTATTTATTTGATAGATCACAAGTAGGCAGAGCGGCGGCGGGGGGAAGAGGGGGGAGCAGGCTCCCTGCCGAGCAGACATCCCGATGCAGGTGCCGGGCTCCATCCCAGGACCCTGAGGCCATGACCTGAGCCGAAGGCAGAGGCTCAACCCACTGAGCCACCCAGGAGCCCCAGAAATTTGTATTTTCTTAATTGAATAATATATGTATATTGTCCGATGACTTTCTTTATGCAACGGTTTGAATTTTTTTTGAGTTTATTCAACAAGCCTTCTGTGTTGGTACAGACAGCCCTACCTCATTTTTTTTTTAAACAGGGTGGGGTATCAGAATTCCATCAGAATTTAACTTTTTTTATTTTGCTGATGGATAATTAGATGATCTGCAGTTTTTCACTATTATAATACTATTTATAATATTTATAATAATTTATATTTAATATAATTTATATTTATATTTATAATCACTATTTATAATACTATTATAAAGTATTCTGTAGTGGCCGTCCTTGTGCCTATACTCTTGCATATTTGTGTAAGACAGCTTATAAAAGTGAAATGGTTAGGTTAGAATTGTTTGGTTTTAAATCCCAGCTTTTCCCACCTGTGTATTTTGAACAAATTAATCTCTCTGAATCTGCTTCCTCATTTGTAAAATGGAAACATAATTAATTCAGAGTTCTCTGAAGATTACGTGACCTAAGGCACAGCAGCCTCTCCCTCAGTTGTCTTTCCAATCAGAAGATGGGGTGCGGGAGGCAAGGGGTGCCTTAGAATCCCCACATAGAGCAAGTCACTCTTATTTTACAGATCAAGAGTCAGAAAGTTACCCAGTTGCCTGGCTGTTGTTGTTAATCCACTTTTGTGACCCTTTAGGATTGCCAAGGATCCAAGATTTGAACGATTACCATGCACACACAAAGGAACCTATGCAGATGACTGCTTAGTGCAGAGAGTAACTCAGGTATCACCAGTTTTTAAATGTTCACTTTGTGCTTCACAGGAAGCATAGGTGCTCTCACTTATTTGAGGAAGTGGATTGGAAATGTATACTGTAACTGTAATGGGAAAATCACAGGCTTGGGGAAGAGACACGGATTTCAAGTCTCAGCACCTGAATTTATTTGTATGTGATTTGGGGCCCTTACTGATTCTTTATTCCACAACTCATCCCTATAAAATACTTTGAGTGAGTGTACATATAATATCAGGTTTCACCTCCCTGTGAGTCAGAAATCATCCATTTCCATTATTCCCCATACAGGAATTTTGTTCCTTTCCACCATGCCTAAGCAAGAGTGTTTCTCAGTTACATCTGAGTGTCCCAGGATGCTGTCTTACAAGTACCCTGGAGTAACTAGGTTTTTGATTCTTCTCTTCTGGCCTCCTTGTCAAGCAGGACAAGAACTTCTGCTGTTGGTTGCCCTTCCTGGACCCTCCTCCGCTGGGGATAACTGTCTTCACCTGGTGACCACACTGCCATCCCCTTAGCCACCCCATCCCATGGGTGGAGACAGCATTTGCCTTAACTTCCCACAGCACAGCTGTCACTAGGCTACAACTCTTTTCAGAATTGATGGGGAGATTGGGGTATGATGGAAGTAAAATCTAATACAGCTGGCAGCTAAATGCTTTCACAACTGCTAGGCTCAGACTTGTCCTAGAGTTCCATTCTGATGTCCTGGCTGAGGAAGTGGCCTACCTCCACCACTAGGAGGTCTCAGAGTAGGCCCAAGCTCAGAGGTTGCAGGAAAGGCAAAAACTGGGCCCTCCGATCTAAGACATTTACTCAGCCTTTGCATTGAGTCTTTCGGGGTATTTCTCAAAATCAAGAAATTGCCTGCCCTAAATATGAAAGTACCTTCCACTTATGAGAAAAAACAATTTGCTGCTTTAAATAGCTTTTCTACCTTCTCCCCCTCAAGAGTCTTAGAACTACATTTCCCCTAGGCAACTTGTTATATGTTTTGTAAATATGAGCTCCTAGATCATAGTAGGTACTCAACAAATTGTTGTAACCTTTCCTTTGCTATTTACTGTGAAAATGAGTAATTCTCTAGATTAGCCAATGTACCATTATTCAGTGTCAAGTAGACTCAGTGTGTGAACATTCATTGGTGTCTTTTACAGCACAAGTGTTACATCGTGGCCACAGTTGACCGAGACCTTAAACGAAGGATCCGGAAGATTCCTGGAGTTCCCATCATGTACATTTCTAACCATAGGTGAGAATTGTCTCTTGGGGGAAGCGATTAAAAGTATAGACAACTGATATCAATTAAATAGATAGCTGATATCAATTAAAAATGAGGTCCGGTTATAGGAAGATCTGAAAGCAATTGTATCAAATGCGTACATAGTTACATTTGAAAAAGTGAGACAAAGTAATAAGAACGAGGGCAAAAGATAAAACTAGGATTTGGGGATGAGGCAGACATTCCTATTGCTACAGTAAGATTACCAGAAGAAATAGAGATGTGTAGCTTTAAATACAAAGCAGTCATTTGAATTAAGCTAATCTTTTTGGCCAGAAATCTCTCTCTTTTTTTTTTTTTTTCCTTGAAAGCCTAGTATATGTGATCAGCACCTCATCTGGGAAATTAAAAGCTTATTAAAAAGCAAACCTGGTCTTTATCTTGCTTGGATGTTCCCATGTTAGTGCTCATTCTCTTACTGTCTTGCTTTCAACCTGGGAAGAACACAGTATAGTGGGAAGAATATGGGCTGGGAGGAGCTGGGTTTACCTGGACTTAGCGCCTGGCTCCCTTACTTGTTAACTTTCGATTTTGAAGAATAAAGATAATATATTAAAGTCAGCATTTTGCTAAAAATCACTCATTACGCTATCCCTTTAAAATGTTCCCACTGACAGAAAGGATTCATAGTGGGGAGGTGAAAGTGTTGCAGTCAGTAAAGGATGGGTTTTTAGGTGGGTTCTGGACCCACTTTCTTAACCAGTGTTAATTTTTTGTCCTGATTAGGTACAACATTGAGCGGATGCCAGATGATTACGGAGCCCCTCGGTTCTAATTCTTAAAAGATAGAGTTCCTCTGCCTTCCTTTACCAACTTTTTCTATTGCCGGTTCATATTAGCAACATGCTATAGCATGAATTATTCTTCTTACCCTTTTCCTGTTATGAGCTGAGTATGGTTAAATACACTCACTTTTTGGTATTGTTTTGAAATTGATAATTTGTATCATTTTAAATATTGTTGCATTTTTTTTTATAAATCAGATGATTGCTCATATAATTTGGTGGTTGTTATTTTATATCTATTTACTCAACATATATTTATTACGGTTATCCTCAGTACTTAATAAGATATGGTCCTTCCCTGAAAACATTCGTATTATAATAGGGGAAAGAGAAACATGTATGTGAATAAATATCGTCATATAATGGTGTCAAGTTAAAGGTATGAGCGGATAGACCCATATATGAGAAAGAATGATTTCTTTCTACTTGGTTGGAATGGGGAGGAAGGTAGGGCTAGAGGTAGTTATATTTGAGTTAATCTTTAAAAGTGAATAAGTGCTTGCCCAGTATATGAACAAAGAAGTGAGGCATAAGAAACATATGAACAAAAGTACGGAGGCGTGGATGTTACATGAAATGATTGCTTGGCCTGTGCAGACACTACCATACAGTTTTTCTAACTAGAACATGGGGAAAAGAGATCTAGCCTGCATCTGAGACTCCAGGGGAGGGAGGTAACTGGGAGGGGGCCTTATATGACATGGTAAAGGGTTTGGACTTAATTGTGAAGTCAACAGGAACTTATTAAAATTTTAAGTAAGGTGAATAATAAGATCAGATTATTTTCAATGATCACAAGGTAGTGTAAGAATAGAGAAATAAAACATTGAAATAGAATTGAAAGTCCATAAACTGATATATTTATGACGAGTTGGTATATTATCAAGGTGGTATTTCAAATCTGTGGGACAAGGAAATTTTATTGAAAGGCCAAATAGTGTGGAGTAATTCTTAGTGGGGTTAGACTTCTGATTCCACCACTTACTATCTGTATGAATTGGGCACAGTAAAACCATTTGGTGCCTTCCTTGCTACCTCTTTAAAATGTGTTGTCTAAGAAAAAATAAAATAAAATGTGTTGTCTAATCCTCAAAACAAGTCTGATAAGATGGGATGAAATCAAATAGTACATGACAATTTAAGTATTGCTCAGTAAATGTCGGTGATTATTATAGTATCATAATGGCTAGTGGGCTATCCATTTGAGAAAAGTTTTTGTATTCCTACTTTATATCCTTCATGAGAATACATTTCACATGGGTCAAAGGTCTAAACTTTTTTTTTTCTTAAGCTATGGAAGTCTTAGAAAAAGCACAAAAAATGCCTATAATCTTTGTATAGAATTCTCAAGTAAGATGGAGAATTTAAAAGCCATAATAAAAACGATTAGTAGGTGTGACTATGTTAAAACTATAGATTTCTGTGGAAGGCAGCCCTCCCAAATTAAGACAAGTGGCTGACCAAAAGATCCTCCAATATATTTAACAAGGGTGTGAAGAAATGAGTAGTCACGCAGTGGTGAGAAGAGTACAGATGGATATAACTGTTTTAGGTAGCAGTTTGGCAGGAGCCCTTAAAATAAAAATTACAGATATCCAAGGAACCCAGTTATATTTTGGGGTTACTTATAGGTATACAGGTGGTTTTCTTTAATATACATGGTTCATGTGATATAAGTGCATAAATGCAATATAAATCTGTAAAGAAACATTCACACATGGGTACAACCCAGTTATATTTTGGGGTTACTTATAGGTATACCGGTGGTTTTCTTTAATATACATGGTTAATGTGATATAAGTGCATAAATGCAATATAAATGTGTAAAGAAACATTCACACATGGGTACAAAGAAGCATCTCTTAGAAGTGTCGTACTGCACCACTGTTTATAATAGAGAAAAACTGAGAAGAATATATAAAGTTCCATCAAAAGAATCTTAACTATGTTACATCTCTACAGTTAACCCTTGAACAAAGCAAGGGTTGGGGGGCTGATTCCCCATACAGTTGAAAATCTGAGTATAACTTTTCCCCAAAACTTAACTACTGATAGCCTACTCATGACTGGAAGCCTTAGTGGTAGCATTAACAGTTACTGCATATTTTGCATGTTATATGTATTATACACTGTATTCTTACAATGACAAAAGCTAGAGAAAAGAAAAGGTTAAGAAAATCATAAAGAAGAGCAAATATGTTTCTGATACTGTATTTTAAAAAAAAAATCCACGTATAAGTGGACCCATGCAGTTCAAACCAATTTTGTTCAAGGGTCAACTATACTGTGGAATGTCATGAGCATTTGAAAAGAATGAAGTAGATTTAAAAATGGGCAAAAGACTTGAATAGACGGTTCTCTGAACAAAATATACAGATGGCCAACCAGCACATAAAAGATACTTAACGTCACTAATCATTAGGGAAGTGCAAATCAGAATCACAATGAGGTAGCACTGCATACCCATTCAGATGGCTACAATTTAGAATAAATTAGTATTTACACGGATGAGGAGAAATTGGAACTGTTGTACACTGTAGGAAATATAAAATGGTACAGTCACTGGAGAAAACAATATGGCAGTTCCTGGAAGAATTAAAAATAGAATTACCATATGATCTGGCAGTTGCACTCCCGAGTATGTACAAAAGAATCAACTCAGGATCTTAAAGAGTTATTTGCGCATCTATGTTCACATCAGCACTTCTAACAATAGCCAAGAGGTGGAAGCAATTCAAGTGTCCATTTACAGATGAATGAATAACCAAAATGTGGTATATACGTACAATGGAATATTATGCAACCTTAAGAAGGAAGAAAATTCTGACACATCCTCCAACATGGATGACCCTTGAGGATGTTATGCTAAGCGAAAAAAGAGTCACCAAAAGACAGGGGTGCCTGGGTGGCTCAGTGGGTTAAGCCTCTGCCTTCAGTTCAGGTCCAGATCCCGGAGTCCTGGGATCGAGCCCAACATCAGGCTCTCAGCTCATCTGGGAGCCTGCTTCCTCCTCTCTCTCTCTGCCTGCCTCTCTGCCTACTTGTGATCTCTGTCTGTCAAATAAATAAATAAAATCTTAAAAAAAAAAAGATAAATACTGATTCCACTTACATGAAGTGCCTAGAATAACTGAATTCATAGAGACAAGGTAGAAAGGTGGTTCCAGGGCTGGAGGGAGTGGGGAATGGGGATTTTAATGGGGATGGAGCTTCAATTTTCCAAGACAAAAAGAATTGTGGAGATTGGTTGTACAACATTGTATATGTACTTAACGATATTGAACTATATACACTTTAAAATGGCTAAATGGTAAATTTTATGTGTATTTTATCACAATTAATAGTAAAAGCTATATTGCTTACTTGACCTAATGTTAAGGAGCAACTCGTAGAACAATTAGGTGTGGTGTGATACCTGTTTCACTTTTTTTTTTAAACCACAAAATTATGTAACTGTTAATATGGTAATATACATACATGGATAGAAAAAGGTCTGAAAATAATTCTTTTCCTATTCTCCCTTCTCTGCTAACAGTATTCTCTTAGAGAAATCCACTGTTAAAGGACTGGATTGTGGCTCACTGCTATCCTAGCACATAATATGGATGTTTCATCTTCCTGGTTAAACCAGTCAGAATATTTTTTTTAAGTTTTTTTTTTTTTTAAGATTTTATTTATTTATTTGACAGACAGAGATCACAAGCAGGCAGAGAAGCAGGCAGAGAGAGAGAAAGGAGGAAGCAGGCTCCCTGCGGGGCCCGATCCCAGGACTCTGGGATCATGACCTGCGCCGAAGGCAGAGGGTTTAGCCCACTGAGCCACCCAGGTGCCCCAAGTCAGAATATTCTTATACCCTTTGCCACTGCAATTACTTCAAACCTGGGAGATCAAACTCAAGCCAAATAGTCTTAACCAGAGCTTTTACTGGAGATCTGTTAGCTAATGTAAGCTTTGAAACTGAGTGATCATATCTGCCAGTACATTGGAAAAACCAACCTGGATTTTACTTTGATTGCATTGTCAAACTTAACCTTAACTAATGTAGGATATATGTCTCCTCAACCAACAGAGAGGAAAAATGGAAAAGGGAACTCAATAATTTAAAAAAAAAACTCAAAAAAAACAAAACAGATTTTGTCAAAACCCAGTGAACTGCATCACTGGAGATTTGCATATTTTGCTATCTGTAAATCGAAAAAGGGAAGAAGAAAAAAATACCGAAGAGGGGAGGGAAGAAGAAATAATAGTAAATAGAAAACATAAAGTAAGATGGTAGAGAAAGGTTCAAATGCAGAGTAGTTATGATGAATGTGACTATGTAAGTTTTCTTACTAAAGGACAAGTGCACGGGGCGACTGGGTGGTTTAATCGGTTAAGCATCTGCCTTTGGCTTAGGTCATGATCCCAGAGTTCTGGGATCGAATCCCACATCTGGCTCCCTGCTAAGTGGAGAGTCTGCTTCTCTCTCTGCCTCTGCCCCTCCTCCTGCTCGTGTGTTCTCTTTTTTTTTCTCTCTCTCCCTCTCCCCCTCTCTCAAATAAATAAAACCCTAAAAAAAAAAAAAATACAACCGCACAGGTTGTATATTTTTTAAATCTTACGACTGTGTGATATTACAAAACATGCCTAAAACGGAATGACACAGAACAGTTGGAAATGATAGGAAATTACACTTAACTGCACAACCTAGTAATTCTACTTCCTCGGAAATCTACCCAAATGAAAACAATATTCACACAAAGACTTGTACACCAGTGTTTATGTTATCTTTATTCATAAAAGATAAAAACTGGAAGCAACCCAAGTATCTGTGGACAAGTAGATGGAGAAACAGTGGTGCATTCACAGAATGGAGTACTATTTAGCCATAAAAGGAATGAGCTGATACAGCAACATAGGCGAATGTTAAAATAATCAAGTTGAGCAAAAGAGGCCAGACACAAAAAAATATATACTATATGATTCCATTTATATGAGATTCTAGAAAAGACTAACCTGTAGTGATGGTAAATCATTAATTGCCTGAGGTGGGGATGGCAGTTTGGCTGTATATAGATACAAAGGAATTTGGGGGGTTATGGAAGTGTTCTCTCTTTTTTTTTAAGAATTTTATTTATTGGGGCACCTGGGTGGCTCAGTGGGTTAAGCC